GTTTTTCTAGCTAGTAAGGGTCAAATTAAGAAAGGGGTTTGGAAATGTATGTGGAATGGGTGGAAATTAGGAGGAAGAGATTCTCCTACAGGGGAACCTCTTTGATGGGCTTAGTGGGACTTTCTGATGGGACTGTTGCAACTGAATTTGATTTAGAAATCATGTGAGTGAGTGTGTGTGTGTGTGTGTGTGTGTGTGTGTATGAGTGCACAAATATATACAGAAAATTCATTATGTTGCAGTAGTAAAAAAAACATGTCTTCACACTGTTTGGAGGCAACTCTGGCGGACCATTGAAAGATTCTGGGAGGTGAATTCTTTTTATTTTTGGTCCTCAGCATCTTCCCTACCCCCACCCCCAGCACATTTCCCTGTTTAGCTATGCTGGGCCCAAGAGCCTTTTCCTGGCTTTCTCAGCAGGCCCTGGTGCACACTCTTCTCCTCATACTCTCTTCCCTGTGGTGGGGGGAGCTCTCCTGCAGGCCCATCCAGATTTGGACATTCAGGGACTTGGAAGCCCTGAGCCCTGTGGTAGGGGGCATGGTGGGAGAGGGAACATCTGACTTCCTGGGCTTGGGTTCCTTGAGAGCCTCATTTGCCTCCTCACACCCTCTTTCCTTCACACCACGTCTGTTTTATTGTTTTATAACCTTCTTTAGAGCTTCAGTTGCCAGAGATTCCGATGGGGCTATTCTCCACTTTCTCACTTCACCAAACCCTAAGTCTTGCTGTTTCAAGCAGTTTGGTCACTTGCAAAGACCTCTCTTTCAGATCTAAGCAAATTATAGAAACCTCTAGTCCTGTGGCTATCTTCAGCTTTCACCAAGCCCATCCACAGCAGCACAGAGTAAGCCAACTGTTAATTCCAACTGCCACCCCACCCCAATCCCGCCCAGTCTCTTCCTAACCATTTTTTCTCTATAGAAACTTACACACAATCTCAAATAAGTCCCACCTTCTGGCATACTCAAGAAGTGGCCTTGGACTTTCTTCCTTATCACATCTAAAGCCAGAAAATGATTGAAATAAAGGAGCTGATGGTACTCACAGTGAATGCAGCCAAAGAATCATAAGACATGCCCACCAACCAGCCTTTTTCAAATAGCACTATCTCCCAGTTTAAGCAGGCTTCTCTGAAGAGGTGCTATTTGAAGAGCCTGGGGTATTGATATGAATATGACCTCCTTGCATTCTGGATATTTGGAACTATTTAAATCTGAGGGAACAGTTGCAGCGAACCTTTATTTAGTGAATAAAAGTTTAAAGCCAAAGGTTATTTATGGTTCTGCAGAGATGAGACCTGAGTGGCTATTTACGAGCACGTGATTCCAATAAACTTTGTTTTATGGCTTGAGAGTTGACAAGCCAAAATATAATTCCCACCATAAATTAGGTTAAGAGCATACAAGTGCAGATGCTTGGTTCCTGGAGCAGCGATAGGAAAGTGAGAGGCTCCAGCCAGCGCTCGGCTGCGGCGCAGAGAAGACAGTTCTACTCCCAGCTCCCCTGCCCACTAGGAAAGAAAAACAGTAAGTCACTTATTACTTTTTCTGCAACAACTCCAGAGGTGGAGATTTTTCTCTGCCTTGACTTTTCTTCTTGGGAAAGCACCATCAAAGTTAATTCCAATTTCGGTCTGAACCTAAATTAATACCTAGACTGGGAATCCTGGTTTCCTTCCCCTCTTTCTTCCAGACTTGTAAAGTTAGGAATTGAGGGCTTCCATCTTACAAGAGGGACTCCCCACCCCCGTATTATAGAGCATCACTTCAGAAGTGGAATAAAATAGTGGGGCTGGGGAGAAGGATGAGTGTAGAGATGGCTTTGCCCCTGAGATTTCACAGAGAGATTGCCATCCTGCAATAAAACTGGAGAACACTAAAAACTTAAAGCCGGATTCTCACCCCTGGGAGGACCACTAGTTTGTAAGATTGGTCTGTGGCTTCTGCAGCAATGCTGAAAAATTGGTGTCCTACCCCTGCAGCTAGATAAGAGTCTAAAGCATTGTCATTTACCCTTAAACTCATTGGTTTTCCTCGTCCTTGGTTATCCTTTGGGTCCTCAGTTACCCCTGGAAATCGGTCTTTGTTTTGAATTGGAGAAGTGGAAAGCAAGTTCCAGCCATGCCTGATCTTTCTTTTGGGAAGAGGATAAGGCAGATTGGGGGGGGGGTCACTGGTTGGGGCTGAGGAATTTGAAACCAATCTAAAACGGGAAAAGGAAGCTGAATCACTCCTAGACCTAGAGAGACAGGGAAGCTTGGAAAGAGGACAGATGGACCAGCTATCCTCACCGTGGACCTGCACCCACCCAACCCCAACTGATTATGCAGAAGGAAACACACAAAGGCCCATTTTCTCCTCCTTTCCCGGTTTCCCACTGGGGAAACCCTGTTAGAGGAGATCGGAGCGGGACCAAACAACCCAGGAGGATTTTTTACCTAAGGGCGCATGCTGTGGAGGAGGTGCTGTGGGTCTGCCCTGGAGAACTGCAGTCCATGGAGAACTTTGCAGAGTTCCCCGGGAGGCAGGCGCCTGGAGCAGGGAGATCGGCGTATTGGTGACGTGTCTGGGCCTTGTCATTTTTCTGTGTCATCTATTGCTGCTATATTATCCTGTAAAAATTAAGTGACCTCTTTTTCATTGCAACAGGTTTGGGACCATGAGAGAGCACTGCTGTAAGTATCTTCCCGTTTCTTCCGAATAGAATAGCGAATAGAAGAGAGGCGGGTCTCCTCCCGGTGGTGGGCGAGGGCTGCGCGGGTGGAGAGCGGTCCTGCCTCCCCGACCTGACCAGCTAGGGAGCCTGCTGGCAGACCCGGGGGTGGAGGCTCAAAGTTGAACTCCTGGGCTGCGTTTCTGGGGCCTAGTTCACAGTCACCTGCCTAAAGGAACGCGTCGGGGTCTCGTCCTTGTCTTCCTGGGCCTCCTTGGACCTGCCGGGCCTCGCCAGACTCCACCAGTCCGCACAGGTGCAGCGCTGCTGGAGCGCTCGGCTCTGTGACCAGCTTGCAGCTCATTAGCAGCCCACCCTAAGCACGAGTTGCAGCTAGCATCGGATCGGTCCTGCTCGAATCAACACAGTTAACACAGGCAATGCGACCCCCTCTGCATCCCGGCCCAGCTTAACCCGGCCCAGTTTAGCCTAACCTTCTCCTGTGGCTTTTTCTTTCTTTTAATTCATTTATTAAAAACAACAAAACTTAACCCTCAATGGCCTCGGCTTGTTGGATTGGCCTGTTTTCCCGAGGGGCTGCGAAGTATGAGCTTCAGGGGAACTTTCTTGCCATCTCTGCCTTCCCTGCTGTCCCTCCCCCGGCCCCAGCTTCATTGGTATGGGCCTTGGGTTTGGGACCTGTCGGAGCAGAGAGAGGAGGGTACAGTCTTCTTCACTCACCTCTCCTCCTCCGTGCAATTCCAGAATTTCTGCGTCAGAGGCCATGTTGCCATAAGGAAGCACAGTGGGGTGGATGGGGTGGGGTGGGACCAGCCACTTTTGAATTCCTTGGCTCCAAAGTTTGGATTTTTCTGAGTTGCCTATACTTCTGGAATACAGGTACATTTCTGAGGAAGACTTTGAGATGGAGGACCATCTCGTTAGGACGGTGGTTGTGGTGGGTGTCAAGGCAGAAAACCAAATGGTTTTCTCTTTCTACAATGCAAAGGTGATCGTATTTTAGTGGAAGACAGGTCATGCAGGGCTGCAGGCACCAGACATTCTCCCTCGTTTGTGAGACACCCTCTTCACAGCTGGAGAAGCTGGGGCTGGGCTGAGGGCCAGGTTTCCTGGCTCCGCTAGGCTGGGTAGCCCAGTGGACCCTCTGGGGGCTGTGCTCACTGATAGAAGTTGAGATGCATGGAGCACAGCTCGTAGTCCCCCTCTATGAACGAGGCTCTAGGCTCCAGGCTGAGAATCTGGTTTCCCGGGGACCCCCTGTGCAGAGCCCCCCCTTCCTGCTTCCTTGACTCCGGGTGCTTATCTGTGCTGAGGCTGCTTGCTTGCAAACTCGCATTTGGCCCCTTGTAGCTGAACACAGCACAAAAAGCCTGAGAGATCAAAAGCATTAGTATGGGCAGTTGAGAGGGAGGTGAATATTTAACGCTTTTGTTCATCAATAACTCGTTGGCTTTGACCTGTCTGAACAAGTGGAGCAATAAGGTGAAATCCAGGTCATAGCGTCTAACAGATATGAAAATGTGTATGCTCACCCGGGGCCCCACCCAGCCCACCAGGCTCACCCAGTTTGTATGGATAAAGCCTAGATAGGCCTAGTGTCTGCAGAAAGGTAAGTGGGGAAAATATTTGACATCAGGGGAAACTAAGGAGGCTATCCTGGGATGAACAGATTTGGTAGACTTAAAGCCCTTGTCAGAACTGGTACCCAGGAAATCACTGCAAATAGTTAAATCAGTGGAACCAAAGGATTGAGGGGGAAATGTGGGTGCCTCGAAGAGAAGCAAGTGGCTAACTGTGCAGATTTGGTAGGGGGAGCCTTCCTGCTCCACCCCCACCAGACCCAGATCCCACTTGAAACTGATTTTTAAATTACGGGGAACAGGGGAATCGAAACAATATTTAAAAAGCTGGACATCTGTGGCCTACTATCAGGCATCCAAAAGCCCCCACTCAAGCCAGGGTATCCCTCTGCTCCTGAATCTGTCTGGTCCCTGAGTGCGGCTGCGCCCTGGATGCCCTGAACTGAGGGGCAAGCCTTGGAGAGCACAGAAGCGCTGGGGCGGGCAAAATTGGTGAACTTTTGTACTCTTGTGTGCTGCTGTCGGGCAAAGCAAAAATAATGAAACTTTGTGATATGTTTGTAAATGATTTCGAATGACCCCACGCCCTGCCCTTCACCATTAGTGTGCTGGCCTCAGACCAGGGCGGCTTGGTGCCTGGGAGCAGCGCCTGCCTCAGGGTCCGCAGTAGAAGCCGAGGGGACACCAAGAGGCCGGCCGGCTGGACTGAGGGCCCAGGAAGGTAAATGCATGACTTCTTGGAGAACTAGCTTGGCCACCAATCTGGTTTGGTCAGGCAGTGGAAAAAAAAAAAAAAGGCAAAGGATATCTCCCTCTTGCCTGTTTTTCTTCTGTTGATGAGGGCATTTGCTTCTTTTTGGAAAATACCACTTGATAAGGGGGGAGGGTTTTGGATCTCAATAGAGGAGTAATAAAGCCGCCATCTCTAGGATGGATTTTTTTTCTCTTTTCTTTCTTAAGAATGTCCTGGCTACTGCTCAGCTGCTCGGTAACCCTATCCCTCCAGAGAATGAGGAAACTCATTGGTGCAAATTGTCACCAAGCTTGTCAGACTACCTGAACTGTCCCTGAAATTGTAGGTGGCTGTGTCGGGCTGGTAGTGGTTCAGAGGAAGAGTTTAGGGCTGGCAGCGGTCTGAGTATCTGCCTTGGGTAGTACCCGAAGGTTGTAACGTTGTCTATATATACCCTGTAGAACCGAATTTGTGTGGTATCCACATAGTCACAGATTCGATTCTAGGGGAATATATGGTCGATGCAAAAACTTCACATTTCTCCGAAATAGCAAGAAATAGAGGTGGAGACCCCGATGTGGGTCAGTCACCTCTTTCTGTTCCCAAAAGATCGACTGTCCCTGGTGACATCCTGCAGTTTTTTCCTCAGGAAGCTCCCCACTTTTAAATAGAGGCTTCAGTGGGTGCTGCTGCAAAAAGAAAACCCTAACTGGTTGCATGAACACTGGGCCAAAAGGGTTAGGTTTTGGGGTACTGGGGAGTGGAGCAAATGATCAGCTAGTTCCAGCTACTGCTCTGCCCCCCCAGGAGATATACCCCAACGGGAATTAACTGGGTTTGGGATATTTGTGTGGGGTCAAAAGTAAGCTGGGAAAAAAGGCCAGTAGGCACCTTTGGGGGGCATTTAGGTGAGGCAAGGGTCCTCTCATCACCTTCTGGGCCCAATCTTCAGATGCAAGAACCTTGGCATCTGGTTGCTGCCATATCAGAAAGGCCCAGCTTTAGCTAGCAACACCCCAGCCTGGGCACCTGTAGAAAAGCATGGTGGTTACTCATTGCCTAACTTAATTCAGGCCCACCAGATTCTGGTAACTTTTGGGTGACCCTGATGAAGACAAAGCCGGACTCGGTCTTTGTACGCAGAGTCCCAGCTCTGGCGGGCTGGACAGGCAAAGTGCCCGCCTGGGGTATTCTGCCCAACTCAGGGGCCACCTCATGCACGCACCTTTCGTTGCTTGCACCCAATAAAAGAATTCATTCTCCCTTTCTCTGCGCCCAGTTTGGGGGGAGTACTTTCATGCGAGGGTGAGGGGAGAGGGCAGGAGAGGTTAGCAAAAGTCAGTGGAAACAAAAGCTGAGATTACCTGCTGAAAATAGGGGTGACGGAGATCGGAACTAGGTTAACATCTGGCAGGGGCCCTCAAATGTGGCACGGCAAGTCATTTGATTACACGTATGTTATTTAGTTAAATTTGTGAAAATTATGATATGCTCACCAAACCGGTGATAAACTCGCTCCCTCCCCATTGGTTGGCCTGGTCACATGGCCGCCCAACTTTATTCAGTTGACAGCAAGTAGGAGGGCCCTATGGAAGGAGAAAAAAAGACAACACGAGAAAAATTAGTATTTTCTACCTTCTGAAATTAATGGCCATGAGTTCGTATATGGTGAACTCTAAGTATGTGGACCCCAAGTTTCCTCCATGCGAGGAATATTTGCAGGGCAGCTACCTAGGCGAGCAGGGTGCAGACTACTACAGCAGCGGCGCACAGGGCGCCGACTTCCAGTCCCCGGGGCTGTACCCGCGGCCCGACTTCGGGGAGCAGCCCTTCGGAGGCGGCGGG